TAAAAACCGCTAAAAACATATGACGTGACACATGACATTATAGTGAAAAAAAATATCGTTCAAATTAAATAATTTTTGGTGACAAAACCTAGCCGTTTATCAGAATCCAACACGGACGAATCTTGGACAACCACTTAGTTGTCGTATGTTGTTTCTTCAAAACCCTCAAAAGTGATCAAAAATGAAAACAACACTTCACCATTAAAATAAAGCTATGTTCATTAGAGTGCATATGCGAGTAAGCCAGGGAGAAAACTGTCACTGATAAATGTCACTTCAGCGACTGTGTCCATAACCAAACATAACCTCAACGCGGCACTCACTCAATAACTCATCACTCGAAACAACAAATCAAAACGCGTCTAAACCGGAGAAACAGGACGGAGGAACTAGCGGAATAGATTGTTCAAATTAATTTTAGGAAGGAATGCGCAAATAAGTAAATAAGAACACTTCAAATCAGAAAGTTAATGTGGGGTGGGGACGTCCCGTGCCCCTCACTTGGCGAAATGTGGGAACGGTGATGGCGATGGGACGGACCGGGTCAAAAGTTGCAAGAACTAAATGCAGCAAATCGGCTTGCTGTTTCTGCTAGATGTTGGCAGCTGGATTCGAATTGTTACGACGGCAACGTGATCGCTGGTAGAGCAAACTTGCTTGCTGTGGTAGCTATTAAGTTCCCAACAACCTATGCTTTGCAGGGAATGCAACCTCATCCCTCCGTGTGCACAGAAAACATGGAGGAACGCGTAGGAGCTTTCGGATTTTCTCTCCGACAATCACTTTTGAAGATAGAGCTGTCCAAAGTTAAGGTTTCAGCGCGGAGGACAGTACGGAAGTCACATTTTGACTACTTCCTGCGGAATTTCGATTACTTTCACCTCTGACATTGCCTTTATAGCACTAAAATTTAATTCGCCACCTTCCCCCGAATCAAATAAGCCAAACGGCATCGAAAACGACAGAAAAATAACGACTCTACGGCCAAAAGACACAAATATGTCGCTTATTTTGAAAACCTCCCATGGAAGACCAGTGAAGGGTCACTCTTCATGGACTACGGCGGGGTCAAAATGCTGGACGCCCACAACAGTTACGTACGCTCAGAAATGATGCCCGTATCAGTAACCTCACAGATAGTCTTCTGAGAGGCAATATTAATATTGTCACTTTCTGAATGGAAGCTAGAACATCCGAGGAGGCTGCCTACCAACTCCATTTCAATTAAAGTTCCTGGGTATGTTTGCTTTGTGTGTATATTGGGCTGGCTGGTATACCTGTTAGCACCATGCTATTGTAACTCATTTTGCATTGATTGTCTAGAAAAAATGTGATTCCTAAGGCACCTAAGTGCCCTGTTAGTTAAAATAGTATCAGTAAATTCATCTTGGGGTATCGGAGCTCCATAAATGGCATTGACTTCAACCCTGATTCACCATAATTATTTTTAATTACTTATAAATAGTACATTTTGTAAGTAAAGATGTAAGTTTTGTAAGTTTTAGCCAGGAGGGTAGCCACGTCAGCCTGACAACATTGTTGGAAATGTCCATTCAGGCCAGTGTTGGGACCATTTCAAGAGCTACTTGATGTCGAAATGGTCACAACGCTGACCTGACTGGTCAATTTCGTGATGTTTTGTTGTCCAGGTGACTTTGCTGTCTTCCCGGGTGTGTTTGCTTTTCCAAAGTATTTTACGTGTTCCTAGTTTTCCTATTTTTTACGTGTTCCTAGTATTCTTATTTTTTTCATGTTAGGTACTCTTCGTCACTTTCATAATCGATCTTCAGATTACCAGTGGACGCATGTTCAAGTGCCTAGTTCTGCTCTTTAGTTTTCTGTTAAGAAAAGTGACACGAGCAGACTCTTTTCAACTGTCGATGTGTAGTTTCAGTTAAGTTTCTATTGTGATGACACAACTTTAAAGTTTAATATCAATAACTCAAGACATTTCCCAGCCAGGAGGGCAGCAAAGTCAACTTGTTCCAAATGACCATTCAGGCCTGTGTTGAGACCATTCCGAGAGCTATTTGATGTCACAATGGTCACCAACACTGACCTGACTGGTCATTTTCATGATGGTTTAATTACATATGCTGACTTTGCTGTCTTCCTGGGAGTAGTGTGTGTTTTTTGTTCTGTAACTTTTTGGAGTTTCCATTTTGCTTTAGCCCTATGTCATTTTAAAGTTAAACACTCCTCTTACTGTGTTGAGGAATTCCTGTCGTTTTCAGATAGCGGCTTTATCTTTGAGTGTTTTTAGTGTTCGGCTAATTTTGATGTTACATATCATATGAGATGCTACTCAATTTATAGTTCATTGGCCTTTATTAAAATATCCAAGTTATTATTGTGAAAATGTTTTGCTTTTATTTCCAACCTCCAGGTACATTTAAACAGTATGCATTCTCCAACAAACTAAATTAATAGTTACTGAGATAAATTTAAGACGACAGCCTCCTGATACAGTACAAGTGACACAGAGTTCATGAGTAAACAAGCATGACGGTGAAGCAAAGTGTGTCTGCCGTGGAGAATCAGGAGATAATGTAACCCACCACATAGCGATACAACATGGAGGGAGAAAAAGCTATCCAATGATAACAAAAAAGGCACTAATTGACATAATAGCTGCCAACCCGTGCCAACCAGAGAGGTATTGACACAAGTACAGCAGGGTGTGCTGTCAGATGAAGAAACTGCATTCAAAATATAAACATTGGATTCACCCTCTCAAAACACCAATATTTCCTTTAAAAATAAAAGGTCACTAGAAAATGTGTTTGACAAATTAGGCATGAAGAGCTAAAAAGATGTTCCTTATCTGTGAAACACCAGAGGCAGTTGTACCCGTCATGGTCTCTAAGAGAACAAGCTCACAATGGCCACACCGTATTGAATATAAATTAAATCAGACTTACTTATATCAGAACACAAGTGAATAATGTTGAAATTAAAAACACAAAGTTCAACTAGAGAATTACCAACAGTGTCTGCATTCAACGTTCACAAGACTTCAGTAAACTATCCCGCTCCTGATTTTTAAACATATTGCTCTCGCCTGGACAAATATGACTACTAAACATTGCCCACAATACCAAACTGACTTCAACGAAATGACCAATTCTTACAGGAACTTGAACTGCAACTAGGAATGCTAACACACACACAATATAAACTGTCTTCAATAAAGGACCAACAAAATCATCACTTCGACTTACCCAAAGAGGAAGAATATTGTGTTGAAATGCAGTACACAGAGTGCGCCCTCATTCTCGGTACTCTTGTGTGAATAAGACAGACAATGTTATCTTTGTTTTTGCAATCCAATTTGCACCTCGAGGGGTAAACAACTACTAATTTTGGTGTACACCACTATTTCAGATTTCAAAACATTTCAACCATTTCAGGACCATTTCTAAACCATTTCATTTCAACCATTTCAAGATGATTTCAGTCATATTTCATATCAATTTCAAGGCCATTTCAACCATTTCAAGACGATTTCAGTCATTTCATATCAATTTTCAAGACAATTTCAACCATTTCATATCAATTTCCAGAGCATTTCAACCATTCCAACACGATTTCAAGACAATTTAATGACGAACCATTTCAACCATTTCAAAACCATTTCAACCATTTCAAAACCATTTCAACCATTTCAAAACCATTTCAACCATTTCAAGCACATTTCATGCCATTTCAGAACCATTTCAAGGCATTTGTACACTCGTTTCCGAGTTGTTTACCCCTCGTTGCACCTGCAAAGATAATAAAACCTTTTAGGTAAGTCGTTGGCTCCGAAAAAAACAAGCGTAACTCCGCCAGTGCCGGAGAACAAGAGTAACTGGCACCAGCGCGGAGAACTCGAGTAACGCCTGGCTATTTAGATAGGGAGTTACTCGAGTTCCCCGCGCTGCTGCCAGTTACTCTTGTTCTCCGGCTCTGGCAGAGTTACGTTTGTTTTTTTCGGAGCCAACGAAGTGAAACTTGAAACTTAAATCACACCAATAGAAGAAAAACAAACCAGTCTGGAATATAAGTTACCACAACAACTTAATTACCTTCCTAATT